TACAGTATATTCGCCCGCTCAGACACTGGGATCGTGGGTTTGAATACCACTCGAGGCATAGCCTTCTGTGTTTGTGTTACCCTGTGTAGGTAGTGGCCTTGTGACGGGCTGATCCACCATCCGAGGCGTCCTAGCGACAGTAAGAAACTGAAGTGAAACGGCGTTTCACGGATGACCTATACTCCAAGTGGGAGCAACAGGAATTAAATAAATAATAAAATAATTATTAATAACATTCATGTACAAAAACACGAGAAGGAAGAGACCATTTACAGTCTACAGTGTAAATATAAACCAGTTTCAAATATAAGTTACAGATCTCAGCCTGCTTTACGCCACAGACCTAGTTTCCTCATTGCTTCTTCCGGAATTTAAGCTAAGTAGGCCTGCGACGTATAATCAACCGATACGGATCGAAATCTACTTCAATCGGTATAGCGAATAGCTTGGCCGCAGATCCAGAGGTCCGGGTTCGATTCCCGGCGCTACCAGATATTTTTCTGAGAAGTAGTGGATCTGGAACGGGGTCCACTCAGCCTCGTGATGATAATTGAGAAGTTATTTCAAGGAAATAGCGGCTCCGGTCTAGAAAACCGAAATTAACGGCCGTGGGGATTCGTTGTGCTGACCACGTGACACCCTCTATCCGCAAAAGTTGGTAGTAACTTCGCCGACAAGCGGCGGTCGCTCGGTCGGTATAGTTCGCTTGTGGACTAAAATCACGGAGTTTTTAGCGACTAGTCTATGGGCTGGGTGACCGAGAAGTGGGAGTACGATTCCTAGTGTGGGCAAGAAATTTCCTCTTCTCCATAGCGTCCAGATGGGCTCTGAGGCCCACCCAGAATCCTATACAATGGGTACAGTGGGCTGTTACCCTGAGGGTAAAGCGGAAATGGCATGAAGCTGACCGCTCACCTCCATCAAGATCCGAGGTTAAGAACGGACGAAATATACTTCAACTCCGTATGTCCTGAAGTCGCGGGTTTTAAGCATAGAGATAACCTTACATTCTCCTAACGGATGAAAGTTAGGCACTCATCTCCTAATAATAATCGTCAAATGTTTGAGAGCCGTAACACGGCGTCTACATGTTATGCGAATGATGAACCAACTTTGGAAGCAGGGTGTATCTCGTAGTCGGACTATATGTGGCTGTCCCTCAGAGCGGCCTGACAGAAGACTCCCACAGGAATAGAGCTGAATCCTGGCCGGCGAGCCTCGACTCTGACGTAGCCCACACTTCACAATCTGCTGCTAACTGGAGCGCTCTTCCGGGGCCAATTTTCCGGTTACTTCCCGTGCTTGTTTATAATTTACGCTGTAACAGCCACGAATATGCGTTTCAATGTATATTGCTAAGCCGATACTGCTCTTTCATTACGTCAGCGGTCTGTGGACATAAACAGAATGTTAGGCTGAATATCAGAACCCTCGGAATATGAACTATTATCAGAATGGAGAAAATTCCACAATGAGAAACTTCATGAATTTTCATTTTCACTGTTGTTATAAGAACACTGTGCTGACAGGAGTATTAGGACTTCAGAAAGATGAGGTAACAGGAGATTGGGGCATAACTGGTCGAGCTAGAGGTAACAGGAGACTGGTGCATTACTGGTCCAGCTAGAGGTAACACTCCAAATCTGTATTTGGGAGGTACTCTGTTCGAGTCTTGGCTGGTTACTCTGACTAAGATTTTTTATGGCTTCCCTCAGTGCCTCCAGGAAAACGCAGGAACTGTATCTCGATTAGTCTATACTCACTTCCTTTCAAATCAATTGTCATTCATCAATCATCACACAACAATATACAGTCTGGTTCCAGCCGGGTGTTTTGTGTGTCAGCCTTTATGATCATTTGCTACCAGCGCCCTATAATACGCTCGTTGCTGGAGCAAGAAAGAATATCGGTACCGTTCTGCTTCTCGTCTACTGAAATTATGTCCGATACCATTGTTCATAATATATATATATACATAAAATAACTCGAGGTCGTTTCCTGTCAGCGAAGGAACGAATGGAGGTGTACAAAGATTATGCGGTCAGAACAATAAATTCCAGTCACTACTGTTGCTATCTGAACCATGTATGTAGCAATGGAATATTATATTTATAGATAAATGAGATTGCAGAATCACCAGAAAGTTACACACGCGAAATTCTCCCAGCATGTGGAACTTATTCTGGGTCCGCTTGCAGGATTTCTTCTCTGGCCGATAAAAAAATGAGCGGATGATGAAACTTCCACACTTCCGGTAATCCTATCAAAGCGGATAAATAAATATTAATGGTCTTACGAACGAAATGGTTGAACCAACCATGTAATAATATTCCATGGAAAGTAAGCAACCGGCTCATATGAATACTGACGTGGAATTTGAACTAATTCTAAAAAAGTTGAGGAGAAAAGTAATTTAATATCTTGCAGCAACAAAGATATTCATTCAGTAAAACAGTTACAGGGGTGCATGCGGTAGCGCAATTGGTTGAGGCACTACGCTACAAACCGGAAGGTTGCGGGTTTGAGTACCGATGAGGTAGATTCTTTCAATTTATCTAATCTTCCAGCCGCACAATGGCCCTGGGTTCGACTCAGCTTCTAACATAAATGAGTAGCAGGAAACTTCCTTGGGGGTAAAGGACGGCCGGCGCGTAAGGCTGACCTCACCGCATCTATGAGGCAATTGTCTAGAAAATGTGGGAGCCTCGACGTCTCACAACCCTATGGGCCTGTTACAGTGATAGCTTTACCTTTTTTTTTCAAACAGTTATAACAAATTATCCTGTATTTAATGTAATAATATCATATTTCTGAAAGGGAGACAGAACACAGATGTATAAAACATGTAATTCTTAACGAATTGAGTTTCCATTTCACACTCCGTTATATACAGCATACTTCAAGTCACTGATGTTATGCCCTTATGGCGTAACGAAGCTAAAGCTGAAAATTCAGAACTCCAAGGCTTCCAGTCGAACTGCCGCAAACTAAGAAATTTGTGTAAACAAACACAGCTCCACCAGCGGGTGGCAAGATTCTGTTGTAAACGCTGAACTAGCTGTTCCGACAATTGTAGTAAACTCTTACTGTTTATTGGAAAGTATGCAGAAATGATGACGCGTAGAAGTCAGCTATTAATTATCCTAGGTCGGGGATATGCAAGAACCATTCTAAGACAATGTTTAGGAGGTGCAACAGGACACTAAGCCCCTGGCCACCTCCATATTATTAGTGAAAATTTATACGGCAGACACTTCACTCATCATAGTGAGCAGTTGAGCAAATCCCACAGCGGGACTGCAGCAACACCATGGGATCGGCAGAGCAGCTGCACCAGCCTTACTGTGTAATCATATAGCCAGAGCATGAGTAGGACCCGACATAGTAACGCCATGGGATCGGCAGAGCAGCTGCACCAGCCTTACTGTGCAATCACATAGCCAGAGCATGAGTAGGATCCGACATAGTAACGCCATGGGACCGGCAGAGCAGCTGCACCAGCCTTACTGAGTAATCAGATAGCCAGAGCATGAGTAGGACCCGACATAGCAACACCATGGGACCGGCAGAGCAGCTGCACCTGCCTTACTGAGTAATCAGATAGCCAGAGCATGAGTAGGACCCGACATAGCAACACCATGGGACCGGCAGAGCAGCTGCACCTGCCTTACTGAGTAATCAGATAGCCAGAGCATGAGTAGGACCCGACATAGCAACACCATGGGACCGGCAGAGCAGCTGCACCTGCCTTACTGAGTAATCAGATAGCCAGAGCATGAGTAGGACCCGACATAGCAACACCATGGGACCGGCAGAGCAGCTGCACCTGCCTTACTGAGTAATCAGATAGCCAGAGCATGAGTAGGACCCGACATAGCAACACCATGGGACCGGCAGAGCAGCTGCACCAGCCTTACTGAGTAATCAGATAGCCAGAGAGTATGTGTGTTCCCGCTGCAACGAGGAATTGTTTTGGAAGCAACGTTTTATATGCAGTACGTGTCGTGTCAAGGGAAAGTAAACAGTAAATTTGTCCCTGAGCTCAATTAGTTAAGCAAAATACGCGATTACTTCTTCGCAGCACTTCTTGTTTAAATTTCCGGACATCATTATCAACTTGACAGAACGAGAACACTCACACAGGAGACTCATGTAACTCTAGGAGGAACCTGACTAATTCCACGAGAGTTTCAACTAAACAGATTCATGAAATCACAACAGTGGCTAGGAAGCAGCCTCATGCGCATGCTTGCAGTGTAATATACTACAACGATGTAATTTCATAGTAATTAACCTTACTAACGGCACAATATCTGCATCTGCTTGAACAGTCGGTTTCTGATGATTTGTGACTGACCTAGTACTGACTGACTAGTACTGACTAGTACTGACCTAGTATAGCGTTTACTTCGCTTGTGATACTTAGCGCACTCGCATTTATCTTCATTTTCTACACAAAAATTAGAAATAATTCTCAATATCACGAAATTAGGCAGGGTTTCCCTTATAAATATTTACAAAACAAACAACGCTCTTGCAACCTGAACTAAAGTGACGGGCTGGGTTCACATTTTGATCCCCTTTTAAAAATAAATTCGCTTGGGGGGGGGGAGTCCATCTGGGTCCACTCGGCATGGCGGCCACTGATTGGCCTATTGTACCTGACCTGGGTGATTATGATGATGGAGAATGTGGTAGAATGAAGACTGGCAGGGGAAACTGAAATACTTGGAGAAAGCCCGCCCCAGCGCCACTTTGTCCACAACAAATCCCACTTGACCAGATCCGGAATCGAACCTGGGCCGCCGCGGTGGGAAGCCAGCGACTAGCCGTTTGAGCTATGGCGCGGCCTTTAGGTCCCCTTAAAGCCAGCGAAAAGGGGGCCTACTGGGTAAGAGACATAATGAACATGACCCACGTTGAACTTTAGGCCAGTAGTGGCCGCAGTGCCAAGTGGACTCAGTCTTATCCCACTAAGAAAATAATAATAAAAATAATACCTTGAGCTTATCCTTGTGTTGGCCTGTATCAGGATCAGCGGCTTGACTAGAGACATGAGTCTGGCAGTATAACTGCTGACTGTCCATCTGCTGCCGCCTGGAACAAGAGACATGGGCGTTATCATCATCGCTGCTAACAATGGTCACCCTGATCTGCGCATGCGCGCGGCCGCAGTCCCAAGCACGAGTCTCAATCTCCTGCGAACATTTATCGATTCAGTATATAGTCAATTTGAATAAATACAAATAAAATTGGAAAGTATATTTTTTTTTGTTATTTTTGTGAGCTCACAAACGTACTGTCTGTTAACGACCTTTCTCGAAAATCGTTTCCCCCCCCCCAGGGTTGCCCAAGCCAAGCCAGTTGCCGCTCAGAGGCACCATAACTTGCGCACTTGCATCTCCGACTTACAGCGAACGTTATTAACATACTTTCCTTATTTTGACAAAAAATAATGAAAGGATGCTTATCAGATCACCTTTCTGTTTTGTGTCTCTTTGCGTCTGTCTGTGTATTCTAATTTTTTTCGTTTTCTATACGGTCTGAGTCGTAACTAAGGAAAGAGGAGATTAGTGCTTTGCAGAACATGTTGCTTCCTTATTCAAGTTTATCGTGGTTTTATACTTTGCCCTTCTGCTTTGGAAATTGTTGGCCTTCGGGTCCCTGTTCGATATATCCGAGACTTTCCTATGTTCATTGTCTGTTCTGTTAGTAAAAATTGCCCCTCTGCTAGATGCGCTTCTGCTGCTAATGTTGTTTGTAGGGACGGTGACGTCTTCAAACCAAACACTCTGTTGTTGAGACATATTTTATACTTAATTAATTAAACTATTATTATTATCATTATTNTAATTGGCCACTGTGCTGTTAAGTTTTCACATAAATAAACACGAATTGAATTATTATTATTATTATAATTATGCTTTTCATTTCTTAAATAAATATTTATATGTTTTATTTCTCAGTTCTCAATCACACTTAGATTTATGTTAATGAAATTATTATTATCATATGTTTGTTTACATGTATGCATTATCGATTTATATTAATGAAATTATTATTATTGTTGTTTGTTTTCTTATTTGTTTACTTGTCTGAATTACTGTGTTTTCCCCCAGTGCTTGCCTGTAATTTGTCTTTGACTTTATGCTGTGTTTGTCCATAATGTAATTACTTGTATCTACCCTGGGCTAATAAAATACTCATATGTCAGTTTCTTCATGTTTTTAACAGGAGTGAGGATTCTCTGAAGGATGCACTTCCTTTTGGTTCATTTCCTATCTCCTTCTCACTTTATCCTTGTACTTTCCTGCAGTAGACCAGTGCTGTTGCCATGATCTCTACAAATGAACTGAATTGTTATTATTACTGTTACAGACTTAGATAACATTAACTGGTTTAGCCTTTTTCTGTTTGCTTGTTTTTGTCCACATGTTTGTGTTTCTGTTGTTTTGTATTCGTGCTTTCTCTGTAACTGACTCCTAGCTGTTGACTTCAGCAGGCAAATCAATAAATTACTACTACTACTACTACTACTATAGTAGTAGTAGTAGTAGTAGTGGTAGAAGAAGAGTCCTTATAGACAAGCTGACAGTCGTTCAGCAGGTCAATTAATTTCTCGTGTTTTAAGAAATCCAAACTGTATTCATAAGTCAGCCACCGGCTCTTATTCCGAATTCAACCCACGCCCTCACACTATTCTTAAGATTCACTTTAATATTGTCCTCCCACCTAGCCTAAGTTTCAAAATTACTTTATCCGAGTCCTCAAATTCAGAATAAGTACCCCTTGGACTTCATTTACATAGTAATAATGTGAAGTTTCCTCTTAGTGCATGTAAAACAAAAAACTTTAAGGACCGTGTAATAAGAACAAAAGAAAGTCCGGGAATTAGAAAAATGTGATGGATGAAAAATCAGTAGAAGATATATATTCTGACGGCATTTCTACGTTCTTTCATATAGTATTACATAGGAAAAACGTAACCTCTATTAAAATGGTTAATTATCGTATTCGTAAACACTGCGACTGGACCGTACAGGAAGCCAGTTAAATTAAGTTCACAGACTCTCATAAAATTTTTCTAAGATTCATTTTAACAGAAACCTTCCCATCTAAGCCTACGTTTCCAATGAGGAACTCTTTCCTTTATACTTTCCGAATATGCAGTATTTTGCGCGATTTGCAAACATAAATTAAACGAAATATCCAGTCTGAAAGAATGGTGGCAAACGGAGACGGGATTCTGCTAGACAAGGACTGTCCTATATCTGCACGCTGCTACCAGGTGGCAGTCAAGTCGGAGGCGAGTTCAAATGCAATTAATTACGTCGGATATCACATCAGCAGCAGCGCCGCTCGGTTTAATAAGACACCCTATACAATTTCTCTGTTCTCAGAGACGATCAGACATTAATTGAATATTCTAGATATATCCAACACTAACTTTGTGACAGTAAGCTTGTGCAGATTCTAAAGAGTTCTGACGATGGTGCATAACACTAAGAATTATTGGATTTTTTGATTTTGTCCTTCGTCCGGTATTCTAGAAACTAGGAAACGTTTCGGAAACTTTATCTGTTTTCGTCTTCAGGTGATGGAGGGAAGATACCTTCTCAGTTGAGTCCCTTAGAAAGAGTTAACCTCAATTGTTGGCCCAGTGACTGAGGTTAGCTCTTTCTAAGGGACCCAACTGAGGAGGTATCTCAGTCACTGGCCCAGTGATTGAGGTTAGCTATTTCTAAAGGACCCAACTGAGTAGGTATCTCAGTCACTGGTCCCGTGATTGATGTTAGCTCTTTCTAAGGGACCCAACTGAGTAGGTGTCTTCCAATCCCCTCAACTGGGGACGGAAGCAGATCCAATTTCCGAAACGTTGTGTTTTCTAGTTTCTAGAATACCAGACGATGGACAAGTCCAAAAACCCAGTGATTCTGAGCTTTTGTAATTGCTTTTACATATGTGACAGGAAATTATACAGAATAATATGATTTTTTCATCACACTATTACATCCATCCATAAATTGGTTTGGTGTTGCTTCCTAATACATTTATGAGGGAATGTTCGTTGTTGCTCAAGAAAAAAAAAAGAAGATAAATTCACCATATTCCATATCGTGGCATGAAATCAATAAATATATAATGCAGGTCTAGTTATGCTGGTCAATTATTAATAAAAATTTCATGGTTTTCCTTGGAATATTTTCTGTTCATTCTTAATGAAGAAAGTTTACAATAAAATTAATATAAATGTAATAATTTCGAACTGAACACAAGGACAGGTAGATGATATTGAGCCTAACTGGATTGATCACATGCAAAAATTAACAGATGGAAGATATGTAAAACACATATTAAAGTACGAATATGTAACAAAAAGGGAGCTAGGAATTAAAAAGGCCTTCAAAGAGACAGACCAATTATATGATGTACTATTTGAAGCTACTGTGGAGGTCGAAGTTACTGAAATCTTCCAAGGCTACCAGAATTCTCTACTGGCTAAAATTCAGGGATGTTTCAGCGACCGTCTCCTTCCCAATCACCAGGATCTTATGCGACATCAGATAATGACGAAGGGGAGACACGTGTTTGCTGAAAAGTCGGCAATTACTAACCAACTAGCATGGACGATAGCCCGATTAGATTTTATTGGAGCAATTGTACAAGTTTGGTGCACGCTCTGTCGTCTAGTGTTTAGAGTTTCTGGCTATAGATCCAGAAGTACCGGGTTCGATTCCCGGCACTACCAGATTTTCTGAGAAGTAGTGGGTCTGGAACAGGGTCCACTCAGCCTCGTGAGGATAACTGAGGAGCTATTTCAAGAAAATAGCGGCTCCGGTCTATAAAACCGAGATTAACGGCCGTGGGGATCCGTTGCGCTGACCACGCGACATCCTCTATCCACAAAAGTTGGCACTAATTTCGCCGACAAGCGACGGTCGCTCGGTCGGTATAGTTCACTTGCGGACTACAGGCCACGGAGTTCTTTTAGAGGCTGAAGAAAGACGGTGTTGGTGCCCAGATTCACCCTGGCTTCGTAATGCAGTCTTCTTTGAAAAGCTGTTACTTCATGATCTGGTCAAGAAATTCTAAGGTTTCTATAGGACCCGAAAATGCACTGCCGTATTTACTAATACCCAGTATTGAACTCTACCCCTAGTCAGTTTAATTTTGTTTCTCCGAAACTCATTATTCTCCCACCTAAGCTGAAGTCTCTCAAATGGTTTCTTCCAATGAGATTTTCAGACTAATTTCGCACACAAAGTGTCTATAACCTTTGTGCTCATACCAGACTCCCTATGTGCAGATATATCTGTTTTCATAGCTCCACCATCAAAATTCTAGGGCAACAAAGATAAATTGGCCGACTTTATTTATTTACATCCCTTTCTTTGCTTGATTCTCCTGGGCCGTGAGTTCTCTCTGCAAGGTAAAAATATTGTCACATGAATTTTATACAACTGTAGTAGCACGCTTCATAATTCTTCCGTTATTCTCCTGACTCAGGGGTCACTAAAACAGTGGCGTCCCCTTAAATAGGGCCCAGAACTTGAGAATACAAGACAGATGGCACTAGCGGTAGGCGCAACATGTTTACACAAACTCTCCATTTACCCCTTTGCACGGTAACGTTCCCACCTCATGACTCAAGGTACGCGGGTTCAAACCCGGCGGGGTTCGTGGAATTTTTAAGGACGGAAAAATTCAGGGAACAAGTCCTCCGGGAGGGACTTTAAGCCGTGGGTCCCGCGTCGTAGCTTTACGGCACGTAAAAGAACCTCATGCCTCAAGGAGGTCTCTGCGCCAAATTACAAGGATGTTTCCCCCCAACAATAGTCTCTAACNCATAACTTGTACTCTTCTCCAAGAAAAATTAGAATGATCAAGGCAAGGATGATGAGGTGGGCAGGGCATGTAGCACGAATAATGGAGACGAGGAATGCATATAGGATACTGGTGGGAAAGCCAGAGGGAAAGAAACCACTGGTAAGAGCTAGGCGTAGGTGGGTGGACAATATTAAAATGGGTCTTAGAGATACAGGATGGGATGGTATGGACTGGATTGATCTGGCTCATGTAGGGACCAGTGGAGGGCT